CAGAGCCCAGGGAGAGCTGGCTCTGTGCAGCTGGATGTAGATGTCCCTCAACATAGAGAATCGAGATTGGGTGGGTCCCAGAAGTGCACAACGATGACTTAATTTTGGAGCAGAGCCCCTTCGTGAGCCATGGAGTGTTTACAAGGCCAGGCACTATGCTAACTGCTGGGCACAAATCATCATCTGGTCCTCACGACACGCTGAGGATACGTAGCATTTCCCATGTGGGGACTCAGGCACAGGGCATGATTTGCCCCGGGTCCCACAGCTAGACAAGGGCAGGCTGGGAATGCAAGGAGTCGGGAGCCATCCACTCCCCACACTATCCTGTGTGGTCATAGCACATTTGGTAAGTGGCTCCCAAGACCTCAGAGAAAGTAAACAGCTTGATGAAGACTCAGGACTTAAATGCATCCTTCTGACTCCTGGACAAAGGCACCACTTCCCAGGAAGAGTGTCTTGAGCCACCAGACCCAAAGCGGGGCTAAAGCCACGGTGTCCATTATGGTAGCCACTGGCCACAGAGTACTTGAAACGTGGCAAGTCTGAATGGAGGTCTGCTGTGACATACACAGGCTGGATTTCAAAGGCTTAATACCCCCAAAACGCAAGCCATCTCATTAATAATTTTTCATATTGATCACAAGTTGAGAGAACAATATTTTTAATTTATTGGGTTAACTAAAATACTTTATTAAATTAATGTTTTTTTGACTTTTTTAATGTGGCAACTAGAACGTGTAACATCATCTGGCATTCTATTTCCACTGGCTGCTCGGGCTAGGGAGGCTCCATTTTAACCAGTACCCTGAAAATTCTGGAGTGGGAAGTTACAGGATTGTGCTCATGGAAACATTCTGCAACAGAATGTCCAACTTTGGAATACAGCGTCCTGCCTTTTGCACACTCAAACTTCTAATCCTTAAAAGCAAATCCCAAAGGCCTTTGGATGTTTTGAAGCTTATATGCTAAATACGAGGAGAAAACATGACACGGAAGGGAGTTCTTTCACCTCTGGAATGTGCTAGCTGCCCTTGCCCTGAACACCAGCATTTGGGGCCTCTGTGGAATGATGCTGTTCTGATCCTCTCCAGGGTAACCAGGAGGCTGTAACTACTCTAGCTTTCCACTCCAAGTTGCATGCAACTTCACGCAATCAGGCTTGCTTCTCCTGGGCCCATTGGTGGGGGATGGAAATACCTAGAGTTTAACAATCTGGGCAGGGGGGTGAATACGGAGTCCAAGCAGGATTGCATGCAATTGCTGTATCTGTGTTATGTGTTGACTCAGCTGGACTCCCACGGGGGGTCCTCAGCAGCCCCAGGAGGCTGCAGGTGGCACAGCATCTTGTCAAAGGGTGGTGCCGCTGCCTTGGATTCTTTGCCTGAGTGGTAAGGTGGCCTGAGCTGATCTAAGGCCTCCTACAGGTTGAACTCAGTGATTCAAGGCTGGAGACCGGTTCCCAGGGGCTGAAGGGGACGACACCAGTTGTGAACCAGGGAGACCCACCTATGGGGCCCGGTCTCCACTCCATAAGGTGGGAGTGTCAAAGGTGGCCAGGAGGGTTCTGGGAGACTCTGCACATGGCAGGGCTGTACTGGTTTCCCACAGCTGCTGTAACAAATGACCAGATGTGGTACCCCCCTTTTTTTTTTTTAAGATTTTATTTATTCATGAGAGACACACAGAGAGAGGCAGAGACACAGGCAGAGGGAGAAGCAGGCTCCATGCAGGGAGCCCGACATGGAACTCGATCCCGGGTCTCCAGGATCACGCCCTGGGCTGAAGGCGGCGCTTAACCGCTGAGCCACCCGGGCTGCCCCCAGATGTGGTACCTTAAAGCCATAGGAATGTACTGTCTCGCTGGCTGGGGCCAGAATTCTGAAATCAAGGTGTGGGCAGGGCTGTGATCCCTGAGCACTCTACAGGGGATCCCTCTTTCTCTTCCAGCTCCTGAGGGCTCTGGGCGTCCTTGGCTTGTAGCTGTACCTCTCTGGTTTCTACCAGGGCCGGCTCCTCTCTGTGTGTTTCTCTGTGTAAAAATTTCCCTCCTCTTATAAGGACACCAGACATTGGATGTAGGACCCACCCTAATCCAAGATGACTTCATCTTAACTTGATCACATCTGCAAGGACTCTATTCCCAAATAAGTTCAAATTCACAGGTACTGGAGCTTCTGGGGTGCTTTTGGGGGGACACAAATGAATTCATACCAGCAGCAAAGTAGTGGGGAGATGGCCAATAAACACACACACACACACACACACACACACACACATCCTCATGCACGCGCAGGACCTTACAGCCGATAAGGGATGGTGGGTGTGAGAACAGATGGGCTTCCTGTACACAGGGTAGTCAGGATGGGCCCCTTGGAGGAGGTACATGACATGTACCAGAGAGCTGGGGATGGGAAAGACCCAAGCAGGCAAAGGGCTGAGGGTGCTCTCAGGCAGGGAAACCTAAAGGAGCCAAGGGCTCTGAGAACAGATGTGTCTGAGAACAGGCTGGAGGCTGAGGGCTGGGTAGGGAGGCTGGGAAGATCCCTGGGGCTGACAGTTCTCAGCAGGAGCCCTGTGCGGATTCCAAGTGCAACAGGAGTCACTGGGAAGTTTTAAAGTGAATGACTTGCCTGGACTAATGTTTGTTTGTTTGTTTGTTTGTTTGTTTGTTTTACAGATTTTATTTATTCATGAGAAGGGCAGAGACACAGGCAGAGGGAGAAGCAGGCTCCCTGTGGGGAGCCCAATGTGGGACTCGATCCCAGGACCCCAAGATCATGACCCGAGCCAAAGGCAGATGCTCAACTGCTGAGTCACTTAGGCACCTAATTTTTTTTTTAATCACTCTAAGCAGCACAAGTAGTAATAAAAACAAAAATCACCCTGGCTGACTGGTTGAGAAGGATTGACAGGGGCCCAGAGAGGACACCGTGTTAGGTGTGCAGGAAGGGTTAACATGGCAGGTCTGAGGCTGCGCTCTAGAAAGGTGTGTGGGTAAGACGGACTCTTGGCTGGCATTTGGAAACTTGGATTTCTGAAGTGTCATATGGTGATTTATATATAATAATAAGTATATATATTTGGTCTCTATCCCCATTCCTGGCACAGAGCTCCTAAGACCTCTGGAGTTTTATAAAGGACAAGAGCAGGAAAGGAGTCTTGATAATTCATAAGTCTCTTTGAGCCAAACCTGAGCATATTCCAATGTGGTGACTTTTGGAAAAGCCCTAAGGATGGGGCTGGGGGCTGGGAGAGCCACCTGTGAGTAGAGGGCTGGGATTTCTGTCCCATCCCCTGTCCTCCATGGAACATAGACTGGTTAGAGGTTGAGTACATCACTGAGAGCCAAGGACTTAACCAATCATATCGATGTAACAGAGCCCCCATAAAAACCTGACAGGACAGGTTTGGGGAGCTTCCAGGCTGGGGAGCTCAGAGAACATTAAGGCTCTGTGCCGCTTCCCACAGACCTCGCCCTGCACATCTCTTCCATCTGCTATTCTGGCTTACATCCCTCCATAATAAACTGGTAACCTAGTAAAGAAATGGGTTTCTGGAATTCTGTGAGCCACTCTAGCAATGGGTGATTAATATCAAACCCAAGCAAGGGGGCATGGGAACCAGTGGGTAAGAAGCACAGGTGGGTTTGTGACTGGCATCGGGAAGAGGGAGGGGCAGTCTTATGGGATGAGCCCTTGCCCTGTGGGTTTGCTCTGACACTATCTCCAGATAGATGGGGTCAGGATTCAGTTAAATTTGTGGGACACCCAGTCAGTGTCCAAAGAGAATGAGTTTATTGCTTAGTGGTGTGGAAAAAACACACCTATAGTGGGGAGTTCCCTCCATTCCCTGTCAAGGGGGGACTCCCTGTGCCTGGACTGCTTGCACAAATAATGTAGTTTATGCTGACCACCTGCTTTCCTGTGGGGAGTTGGGAATTTTGGGTGGTGCCAGGCAGAAGGTGCCTAACTAACCAGCCCCTAAAAACACTCTGGGTGCTGGGCCTCTGATGGGCTTCCCTAGTAGATGACACCTGTCATCACAAACGGTTGCTAGAGGAATTAGAGTGTCTTTTCCCCTTTGTTGATGGTGATTTGTGTCCTTGCACTATAATAAATCACAGCCATGAGCATGACCACAATGCTGAGTCCCGAGTCCTCCCAGTGGTTCACTGAACTTGGGGCTGGTCTTGGGGACCTCAACACAGGCTCCTGCAGACTTGCTGGCAACAGAGGTGGCAGCCTGGACCAGGGCCATGTCCTTGAATTCAGCAGATCCAGTGGCAACCTCCTGATTCCTGGGGCAGAACAGCAGCTCCCCTGGCAGGCCAGTTCAGCAGTGTTCTGGGGGCCACACACCACTCCTTCAGCCCTTCTGATAACTCTGTGAATGCCCCAAGCTCTTTATTAAATCCCTTTCTGGGGGCGCCTGGGTGGTGTAGTCAGTGAAACATCTGTCTTTGGCTCAGGTCACGATCCTAGGGTCCTGGGATGGAGCCCCATGTTGGGCTCCCTGCTCAGCAGGGAGCCTGCTTCTCCCTCTCCCTCTGCCGCTCCCCCTGCTCATGCTCTCACTCACTGTCTCTGTTGCTATACCCATCTCTCTCAATAAACAAATACAATATAAAAATAATAAATAAATAAATAGATAGATAGATAGATAGATAGATAATTCCTTTCTGCCTAAATAACTGTCATAGTTTGTGATGGATCCTGACAACCCAGAAGCCGCACCTCTGATCCATGTAGTTTGCCTGGGGGCAGACGAGTCAGCACTACCCACAGGTACCTTACCCTAAATAGCTTCTGTGAATCTCAGTTTGGATGGGCCATTTCTTTATGCAACTGTTACAACAAAAAATGTTAATTTGTGCCTGACTGCCCCCTCCAAAGGGTCCCCTGTGCCACCCACTGCAGGTACTGCGTGCACACTTTGAGAACCACTAGAATAAAACAGTGCCTTAAATGAGTGCCCCCACCCCCACCCCCACCACATACCGTCAAGTCCAAGAACATCCAAGAGCTCCATCCAAACTTTCCACAGGGTTTCGACAAACATATCCACCCCCAGCACGAACCTCTCAGTCAGCCTGGTCAGGAACTGCAGAAACAAGAGTATGGTCACTATATCGACTCGGACAACGCCCCATCTCCTAGTCTAGCCAGGCCTGCTGGTTTACATGTTGATGGGAAAACAGAGCCAGCCGGTGATGGAGGCTGCACCAGGAGCAGCCGAGTTAGCCCTGGCACCGAAGTGAGCTCGGCAGGCCAGAGCTGGGTGAAATCTGGTCTAGCCTCCTCCTCTACAGGCCGAGTGGCACACCTATGGGAGACAGGAGGGCCCCACAAAGCTGTTTTGCTCCACCTCTGCTTTCTCCTAGAACCCTCCCGCTCATGTCAAGGTTAAGATCTCCACTTTTCTCTGACTCATTTCTCATTTTTTATCACTGGTAGATTCCATCCTTACCCCATTTCTCTGAGAGCTTGGGTACTGCCATGAGGAACAAGGACAAAGATGATGGTGGTTCTCACACGTGAGTGGCGTCACATCTCCTGGGCATGTGGAAGCGCTAGAGACCCAAGTCCCACCCAGCTTTAAGAGCCCGGACCCTCAAAGGGCTTTGTGAGTTCTCCAGGTGATTCTGAAGGACCACCTGACTAGAGGAATAGGAATCTGAGGTGCAGTCTCATTCACTTATTTTTTTAATAAGTAATATTCGAAAAAAAATAATATTCGGTACACATGGTATAAAACTCAAAACTGCGAATGGGAATTCAGTGAAAAGTTAGGATCCCATCTCACTCCCCATGATGCAAATCTCCTTCTGGAGGCATTGTTGTCACCACTCACCCCTCGGGCCTCCCTTAGATGCGTGGAGTGAGTAATGATAGACAAATGTTCTCGCCATGAGCAGCAGCGAATGTGCAGTTCTGCAGTTTTTCTCATGTGACATGGTCTTGGTGATTACTCAAGCTCAGACTGTATGGAGGTGCCTCATTCTCCTTTCAGATGTTTAAGCAATCCCCTACCCATGGACATGTAGGCTGCTCCCACCTGTGCTATTACAGCAAATGGGGGTGACAACACAACGAGGCCCTGGACTTCGGTTCTTGGACTCATATATGGGCAATAAATGCCTCAGGGTGACCTGGCTACAGCTATTTGAATCTGCCTTCGTGGCTGGATCACTGCCCCAGGACAGGGGAAGAGGAGCAGGGTTGAAACAGCATCCAGGAGAAAGAGAACTCTAATAACCTCCTCCATCCCCCTGTTCTATGGCTTGGCTGAAAGCCCATGTGGCTGGGAGTTCAAGTACCTGGGTTCAAGTTTCAGCTCTGGCTCTTACTGCTAACCATGTAGTCATGGATGTGTATGTGTGCATGGTACATAGATGCATACATCCAATATGTCCCAGAGCTCCAGCTAAGAGATCCATGTACTTGTACCTACCCCATCTGGTTTTTTGAACATTAAGTGGGCTATTCATGGGAGGTGCCTTGAGCACCTGGTAAATGGTCAAAATTCCTACTGACATCCTACATTCTCACAGAGCATTGACCCCAACATGTCCTGCAAGGAATCATCCTTTCCTCCTTAGGTAATTGCCCTAAAGGTATTTGTACATGTAAAGACCATGAAGCCATCAGCTGACTGATGAATGAACAAAGGCTGGTCTGTCCATACAATGGGATGTTATTTGGCTATAAAATGGAAGGAAGGTTCACATCAGCGAACCTTGAAAATACGACGCTGAGGGAATGAAGCTGGAATCAAGAGACCATATAGCGTACAATTCCATTTGTATGAAATGTCCAGATGAGCCAAAGCCATAGAGATGGAAAGTAGACCAGCAGCTGCCAGGGGCTAAAAGGTACAGGATTTCTTCTACATGTAACGAAACATCCTAACATTGATGTAGTGATGAGTGAACAACTCTGAACAGACTAACGAGGGCTGAATGGTACACTTCAGGTGGATAAACTGCATGGTATGGGAATTATACCTCATAAAGCTATTTTTAAATGGAAGGGGAAAAAAAAGGAAAAAAAAAAAGGGAAGAGCTGGGATTTAAAGAAAAAAACAGGGCACCTGGCTGGCTCAGTCGGTGGAACACGGGACTCATGATTTCAGGGTCCTGAGTTCGAGCCCCACGATGGGGGTGGAGCCTACTTAAAAAAATAAAAACAAAAAACAAAACAAATAAAACCCCACACAAACGAAAAGACCATGTGGAGAATGTAAAAGAAAGCACATGTGTCACAGAAAAGAGGGCAGCTGCCCCTCTCATTGGTGGAGGGAGGAGGCAGGATGCATCTTCACCCAGGTAGAAGGCATATTGGTAATAGTTCAATTAAAACTCCTTTTTAGGGCAGCCCCAGTGGCCCAGCAGTTTAGCGCCACCTTTAGTCCGGGGTGTGACCCTGGAGACCCAGGATCGAGTCCCATGTCAGGCTCCCTGCATGGAGCCTGCTTCTCCCTCTGCCTGTGTCTCTGCCTCTCTCTTTCTCTGTGTCTGTCTTGAATAAATAAATAAAATCTTAAAAAAAAAAAACTTATTAAAAACTCCTTTTTAGGGGCACCTGGGTGGCTTAGTCGGTTAAGCATCCAATTCTTGGTTTCGGCTCAAGTTATGATCTCAGGATTGTGAGATTGAGCCCCACATCAGTCTCCTCGCTCAGTAGGGAATCTATTTGGGATTCTCTGTCTTCCTCCCCCCACTTTCCCCTAAAATAACCCTCCTTTTTTAAAAAAGAGCTTTACTGGCATATTATCTACATACCATTAAGGTCATGTTTTCAGTGTCCAAGTTGATAGTCTTTAGAATAGTCACAAAGTTACAAAGTTATACAACCATCACCACAATCTAATTTTAGAACATGGTCATCCCCTCCAAAGAAACCTGTTAGCAGTCACCTCCTCCCAATCCCTCCTCCCCAACCTAGGCAACGGCTAATCTGCTTGTCTCTATGGATTTGCCTTTCCTGGACTTTTCCATACAAACAGAACCGGACGATACATGATCTCTTGCGTCTGGCTTCTTTCACTCATAATGACATTTCCCCTGTTGTACCAGCAATCAGTAGTTCATTCCTTTTACCGCCACGTAACATTCCACTTTACAGATATACCCTGTTTTGTTCATCCTAACGCACAAAGTATGTATGATTTGTACATGTTGGTTTGCAATTGCATCGCAGTTTTTATAATTTGTTCAAACAGAGGAAAAAGGAAGGGCACTATGCTTTTCTAGGAGAGAGCATTGGGCCTTTGAGATGGCACCAGCTCCCCCAGAAAGGGTGTGAGGAAGCAGCTGTTTTGGAAGGAAGAGATGCCAGTGCTTACGCTATGAAACTCTGTGCCTCAGTTTTGTCAGCTGTCAACTGGGTCCAAGACAGGATTGTACATTCGGACCTGTAAAGGCCTCCACACCGGGCCGGCACACACCGGAGGCACAGGCGTTGGAGCTGCTAAGGACACTTCTGTCACAGCACTTACTCACACAGGTTCTCCAGGTAGGTGCTTGGAGCCCTGCCATCCTTAGGAAATCCTCATGCCCAAGCATGACTGGCATTGCTCAGAAGGAAGAACAGGCCCATCCTGAAAACGAGCCAGGGCCAGAGAGGTTGGAAATAGGGAAGGGCCCACCATTGGTCTTTTAACCATGCACTGGGCCAATTTGCTCTCACCCTGTGGGCTAGCCTGTCGCTTTACCTCCTGCTCCAGCAATGCAGGAGACTTTGGCCCACCTCACCTGGCAAAGATATGGGAGCCCTGAGGAGGATGAACTGTGCTCTCCCCAAAATCCCTCTGTTGAAGCCCTAATCCCCAGGACCTCAGAATGTGACTGGATTTAATGATAGAGCCTTCAGAGGTAAGTAAAGTAAAACAAGGTCACTAGGATGGGCCCTAACTCAATGGGACCTTATAAGAAGAGGACACACACAGAGGGACAGCCACGAGAGGACATGGGGAGGGAGGGGGGCACACAGCCATCTGCACACCAAGGATAGAGGCCTTGGAAGAAACAACTGCGCCAACACTGTGGTCTCCATTTCTAGCAAATTCCTATTGTTTGAGGTGGACAGTATGTGGCCCTGTTAGGGTAGCCGGAGCCACTACCAGGGGGGTTACACCGCAGCCTGGAGTCTAGAGCAATGCTCCTACTGCCTGCCCAGTATGGATGCAGACTCGGCCCCAGAATGAGGGCCTGGCTTGTCCACCGCAGAAGCTGCTGTGGATGCAAGAGCAGCGGGAGAGGAAAGAGCCCTTCAACCTAAGGCAACTTGAATCAGGCTGAGAGCCTGTGCCCTTGACGTGTCTCCCCCATGAACCTCACAGTTACAGTCTCATCAAGAGAAAAACAACAGAGCCATGGCAGCTGACAGGCATCCTACAGGACCCCTGGCCTAGGGTTGGTCATTACAGAATATTGCCATGAACTGTGAGTTTTGTGGTCCTGATTTTTGCAAACTTTTTGTTTGTTAAAGATACAGACTAAAATAGTTAACGTGTCTTGTATTACTTTAAAATATTATTAAAGGTTAAAAATTGATTTTTGAAGAGGGGATACATGTAACAAGAATGACAGAAAGTTAAAAAACAGAAGTTGTGGGTGATGGGTGTGGGGTTCATTGCAGGATCCTTCCTCCCTTTGGGCAGGCTGCACAACGTTCAGGATGAAAAGGTGAAACAAGGAAGACTCAGGTGAACAGACTCAGGAGGCCTGCAGCTGTCACCGTGGGAGGGACAAAATTGCTCAAGCCGGGATTTCATTATCCTCCTCTTGCAGCAGAGAGGCCTGGACACCCACCTCTGTCTAGACGGTGTCCTACATCCCAATCTTGCCTCCCGCCCCACCCCCACCCCCGCCCCATCACCTCCTGGCTCATGCAAACTAGCTCCAAGGAAAATCAGCAGATGTGTCCTGATGAGCAAGTCAGAGAAGTTTCTGCAGTTTTGAGTTTGCCCTAGCATGTGAAGAACACACCAGATGCAAAGACTGCAAGAACGAAAAGTCCTGGGACATATGCACAGATCACAAGTGAATCACAAAAGGGAAAGTCACCCTGACGCCAAGCAAGTAGACAAGACCTCTTCGG